CTGGAACAGGTATGCTTTTTGCCCAGCAATCAATACAGTAACACAATTGGGGCAGAACTGAATTTACAGGCACAACTGAAGTCATTAAAGAGACGTACAGCACTGAATCAGTGTAGGAAGTGCTGGATAACTATGACATGAACATCCAGAGGAAGCACCTTGGGTTACGTCTGATTATGCCAAGTGCAGTCCAACCAGGCAAAAACATCTAGTGAAAGTGCCTGACATAAGATATAGATTTCAACAATATCAGAACAACAACGGCCACAAGCAAGGAAGAGGACTTAAGGGAAAGATGGTACATGGAACACACAGCAATGGGTTCAAATTGAGAACTGGATAGGGCATGAAGGACAAAACTGAGATCCAATAAAGTAAAACAAAGGGACAAGGAGAACGAACAACACAAAAGGAACAGAAAATGAGGGAAATCACAGGGGAGGAGAAAACTTTCTGGAAATGAGAGAATTAGAAGGAGTTCAACAGAGCAACCCTATAACTAGAAACACTTGACACAGACCAACCCTGATCAAACAATAAGGAGAAAAACTGGGAAAGATGAGGTCCCAAAGAACAAAAGGGGCAGAAGCCATGGTGAACAGACCAAGGTCTGAAGGTAGACCACTGCCTCTGATATAGAGACAAAGAGGAAGGTTGAATGGAATGGAAAAATGCTAGATGAGGGGTGAATCCTTGAACTGAGTCAAGGGACCTGACAAAAGCTGTGCCTGAAGAGTGTCGTTTAGTGACATCAGAATGAACTATATGCAGATGGCAACCTTCCATAGACAAGTCAGAATACACTAGTCATATGAGTTGATGAACCCATTCAGTAAGTTCAATAGGGGACATATCACGGGACACAGAGAGAATCCTGGAATAAGTAAACAAGAACAAAAACATGAAAAGAGGCAATATGAGCCACATAATACCTCCGATTGCAGTTGTTGGAGGAGAGACTGGGACAGAGGTAAGGGCAGGGGATTTCGCTCCAGTAAAGTCCAGAGGAAAGGGAACCATGACTGAACAGGCCAATAGGGAGCAATGAGCAGAATACAACAAGGAAAGTAATAGATATTGGAAAATACTAGACAGGAGTCTGATCAGATTGTAGGCATATAGGTGAAGACCCCTCTAATCCTGACTGAATGCATCTACTCCCAGTGAGTGCCAAAAACATCTCTATGCAGTGTTCCCAGTGGAGAACACACCCACCAAAATATCCAAAGAAAAGGGACTACTCCATGGGGAGAACCTGGTTGGGTCGAAATAAGTGATCGGCCACCAGAAAAATAACGCCTGGAACATGACACGCCAAGATCACCATATAGTGGTCATGGGTCCAGTAAAAAAGATCCAGAGTCTGAAAACACATAGATCCAGATTTGGTTCCCCCTTGCTTGGTGATATATCCAATGACACTGGAATAGTCAGAATAAACCATAACCATCCACCCCTTAGAAGCAGGAGGAAATGATACAGAGCCCAACAAACTGCCAAAAGTTGCAGGGCATTAAAAATAGAAAGTAGCCTCCTCAATGGAACATTGACCAGAAATCTCTTGGGAATAGAGGAAAGCCCCCCAACATACCAAAGAAGCATCAGTAAAGAAATAAGATTCCGGACAAGGTGGAGGAATGGGAAACCCGCCCCCACCATGGTCAATTGCCTGTTGAGCCACCAAGCAAGGTCAGCCCTGATCCCTAGGGTAAGGGTATGGAATGGTCCAAGGGATTATGGGAGAAGTTATATTGATTGAGAAGCATCCACGAAAGGGAATGCATGTGAGCTCAACACAAGGAAGCCCACATCCCCAAAAAAGAGAGAACCCCTCATGCAGTAATAAAAGAAGAACGTAGGGCCATTGAGACTACCCACTCTATCTATCTATCCCTGGATCGAAGTGGGGAAGGCTGGGCCCAACAAAAATGATAGGAATTGAAGAAACCCCCAATGGAGTAAGATATTGAGTGGAGTTAAGAATGGACTTTTCCAACTAGAACAGAAAACACTTACTGATTTAGCTTCCCGGGGAATTAAGCTGGCATGATTGACTGACTGGGCAGGGGAAGAGGCGAGAAGGACCATCCATGAAAAAGATAGTCTGAACACCCAACGAGTGAAAATGACAAGCAAAAGAGCATATCACTCAACAAAACACAAGGAGCTGGAGAAGGACTGAACAGTATTGCCCAGAACTGGAGGACACAACTCTTACGGAAGAAACAAAGAAAACAACATAACACTAGAGCAGTTGGAATATGAAGACAGGTATCCATTAGGACAATTTGTTCATCCAGAGTCCCAAGGGAAAAGCACCCCAAAGTGAGAGGTAGGACTCCATGGTGAAGTGAGATGGCTCCAGATAAGAGTACAACTGGGACAGGTCTATCCATCTTTAAAGGGACAACAATTAGACAGGAGTAAAATTCCAATGGTTTGTGACAACTCATTCGACATCCCCATTGTGCAGTAGGTCTTAAACAGACAAGGCAAGATGACTGAAAGAGTATGATCTCGAGGAGAAGGGAAGGAGATCTCTGAAGTTGATAGGGGAGAGTGGAACTGAAGGCAGAAACCTACAGACAGAACCCGTACAACCCATGGAACTGTTGTGAAGTGTAGCCACAAAGACACAAACTAAACCTACTTAGAGAAAGTACTCATCGCTAACAAAACCTAGAAATTTGTAGAGTCTACAAAGTATATAAAAATAACGAACTTGCAAAACTATGAAAATCAACCTAAAATATAAAACAATAAGCAACACCTGAAGTACAAAACCACTATAGGACCTTAGAAGATAAAATACATGTAAATATCAAACTTATAAGTCCACTCAAAGAACCAATACAACAAAAGACATGAAAGTAAAACCTACCCTGAAAAACATGAGAATGAAAAGGCACCCAGTTAACAATAACAAAATTTGAATAAAATCTAATCCCCAAGTTTGATGTGAATAATAGTAAAGAAAAAGGAACTTACAAGTTAACTAAAATAAACAGTGAAAGGAAGTAAAAATAACAAACCAGCATACCCACAAGATTAGCCGAAGTTACAATTACCCAAACGGTAACGTGCAAAACCCATACATATACTGAAAATTAAACAAAAACAAGTAATAAACAAACTCTAAATGCAAAGTTAAACAAAAGTAACGTAGATGGTAAAAGAATTATTAAAATCTAGCTTACCAAATACTGAGAAGAAGAAACATGAAAGATCTAAATTATAGCATGAGGAAATTAGGTCAGTCCACACAAGATCACATAAACTCACTAAACATGGGTATACCTACTGGGAGTGAAAAATACATGCTGATAAACTTACCACAGATCTCCAGGGAAAGAGAACAATAACTAACCCAGGAGATTACATGGAGGCATGATAAAAGGTGGAAAGTGCCATACATAGAAATTTCCATTCAGTAGTTATATCCTACCTCACAAAAAATTGTAACATGAAAGGAAGAAACTGTTGGCCAAATGTAAAACACGAACTCCTCTCAAACTAAAGCCTGCACTTCCCCAGCAGACATCGTCAAACCTAAGACCTGGAGATTTGTATCAGAACCATTGTCAACTATTGTTGGAATTTCCTCATCTGCCATATTAAATTCATATCAACAAATTAGAATTTGGAAAACAAAAATATTTCTAAAATAAAAAAAGTAGAAAGAGTGGAAATCAAACACAAGATGTTGAAACTGATATAATGTTACGACAGCGGAAGTCATGTGACACTAGTAACACGTCATGATATTCTCAAAGGTTCGTGAATGCTCGAATGTTTACTAGATGTGCGGTATTCTTGTATATAAGTGCGCCAAACAATGGAATTGAATTGCAGACAGAGATAGAGAAGGACAACTGAGTCAAGCGCAGTAGTAGGCGTGAATCGTTCGTTGTGAATTATAGCATTTGTTAAGTTATTAAAATGACTGTGGAAATTAAGTGTATTGCAAAGTTGTATTGAGAAAGAATAAATTAGTTTTATTTAAGGAAGGACTTGTATCGCTAAAGTTTTTTGGAAAGAATTTCTACGGAAAATTAACAAATGAACAGAGACGTAACAATAAATTTGTGATCAAGCACAATCAAACTTTTGTATTCACATGGAGCTCAAGTTAAAACACACATCCATACTAGAATTCTAATCAATAAAGTAAGGATTGTTCTAGAATAGTAGAGGGAGCTAGCTGCACCATTGTAGATGGCACAGTACAATTGGCAAAGAAGAGTCACATGATCAGCATGTTCTGAAATGGCACAAATCTGATAGGGGATAAAGAATGGTGCACTGTAATGAAAATTTTTTTAGCTATGCTTAGAGGGCAGACCAGGATAGAGACAGCTTTGGCTAAGAGGAGGTAGTACTGTTTCGGAATCATCAATCCCTCTCTTAAACTTCTTTAAAATGGTGGCCTACAACCGAAATGTACCAAATTGTTAGTTTAGCATTAAAATTCATGCAGCACAGTACATCAAATGTTTGATGAATATATAACATGGTGACATTACTCTTTTTGAATGAATAATCATAAACAAAAACAAACATATTAGATTGATTGTTAGGGTGATATATTTGTTTTTCTTAATCATGTCATAATGCCTAACTTTTACATAAAAATAAATAAATGTATATCAGATCAGAATAACTACTTGAAACAAGACTCAGATCTAACACATTTTATCTTCATATAAGAAATAAAAATAGATTAAAAACTGCACTTCTAACTTTACGACCCTGTGATCTTTCAATACTATTAATTAAAACATCAACTAAAATGTAATTAAATGGTCATTCATGAGCAACATTTAAGTTTTTGAGCCAAATACATGTATTGAATGAATGCACTTTTTAAATCCTGTACACTTACTTTACAGTATTTCTTTGTGATCACAATTAGTTCAAGTATTTAAATATCACAATAATAGATTTATACTCATTTTTTCTGTTTTTAGTAATAATAATCTACCAGAAATTTGAAAGTTCACCTTGGCAACTTCAATCATATTTTTGGCAATGTTGATGTCACCTTGATGATTCTGTCCAATCTCAGCTATGATAAAACATGGACAATTACCTCCAACCCAGCAACCAGGAACAAGTTCAAATGAAGCCATCACTTATTTTCAGCACTTTGAACCTGTAACATTTCATAAAATTTATTAATTACAATATGTGTTTGTGTAAATATACACATCTGTGTGTCTTGAGAAACTAAATGACTACTAATTTTATGAAACTTGGTGAGCTTCAGGTTCAAAGTTTCACTTAAACCTTCAGGAACATCTAAATGAACACAAATATTATACCACATACCTTTTGTTGATTGTATGTCTATAAAAAATAATGTTGAAAGTAAAAATATTATACCATTCAGAAGTAAAATTATCAAATATCTTGTAGTTCATATTTATTTTCTCAGTAATTATAAAATAATAAAGAATATGTGCTAACTGAATATGATGTGGCCTAATAAGCATGATAATAATCACATAAACTCCAATCTGTTTTCACATTGATCTCCAATACTTTGCCTGCTTTTACCAATAATCATAACTTTATATACAGTTCACTTTTTTATCTTTAGAAAGAAAAATTATTACACTTCTTTATGTAAAGAATAAATGCATATAATGACTGATCTAGAACTGCTGTGATACTATTTAACAAGCTAGTTTTTAAAAGGTTGGATGCAAAACTAAGGTTAAATGTTTTTCACTTCTAATATTAAGGAAAAAAATATTAAAATATACATTTTTTCGTTTATACATGAGAATTAATACAACAGCCCGTTCATTTACCTCTAAATGGTTTTCAGTCCCCTTATGTATTTTTTGTTTTACAAAAGCATCAGCTCAACTTCCTGTCACCACTGAAACAACAACTAATATCAGAAGTAGTTTGATCTTCCCAAAGTAATTTACATTCCATTACAAATTAAAAATAAACATAAAATGAAACACATATTCACAAGCTGGAACAGATCTATAGAAAACATCCACTAAAAGTAATTTATTTATGTGATATACAATAACCTCAATATGCAATCAATGATCATACCAATAGTCACAGGCAGTTTGTTGTTGTCAGTGTAAAGGCAAATACAATTTTGAGTTGTATCTACAAGTATAGTGAATGTTATATAGCAATAATAACATAACAGTTCAAGACAACAAGAGGACTATTGCCCCATCGAGACTGTCGCATCCACTAACTAAACTTAAAAATAAACCACCCTCAAAGCCAGTCCTTATAATTTAAATATTTATTGAGCCTTCCCTTAAACTCCCTTAAATTTACTTTAACCACACATATGAAGGTCATTCACCCTCTTATAAAAATAATACTAAAGATAACTCTTACTTTACCCAAATTTATACTTGTGCCCCTTGTTCTGCCATTCTCTCCATTAAGTACAAAAATAGATGATTCATCAATACTATAAATTCCCTTGTAAATGTTCAACACCTGAATAAAATCGTAACTCTTCTTTTTTTCATGTGAAAACAATTTCAAAGATATTAAGCTGTGTTCATATGACCCATTTTCCATGCCAGGAATCATCTTAGTAGCCCTCTTTGGTTCCTTTCCAATAATTCCATGTGATTCCTAAGGTAAGGAGCCCAAAAATTCATAAAATACTCCAAATTAGTGACCTTTACAATAAAATCATAACCTCTTTAGACTTTTATTCAGTATTTTTGTAAATACAACCTAAAATCCTATTTTCCCTACAATTTGGATGGTTTAAGAGACTGATGAATCAAAACATCAAGATCTTTTTCTTTCATAACATTGTTATTATTATTCCAATCAAAATTATACTTATATTTTAAATTATGATAACCCACATACATTACTTCAAATTTAGTATTATTAAAAATCACCTGCCATTGATTTGCCCAACTAATATGAATCTCTTTGTGAAGCAATGTCATCTCATCACAGTCAGCAACCCCCAAGTTCTTAATATTATCAACAAATTTATAGACTACTGCTTCATCTATTATCATTGATGTAACTCAGAAAGAGCAAAGGGACAAACACTGAGGTATTAATCCAGTTTTACTGAAATACATTTATAACAATACCATTTTTTCAATCCAATGAGCCTACAATTTTTTAAAAGTCTTTTATGTGGCACCTTGTCAAATACTTTATGATTATTCAGATACACCAAATCTACTCCCTTACCCTAATCTACATAAACAGTAACCTCTTCAAAAAATTTCAAAAGATTAGAAAGGCAAAAAATTTTTCTTTAATGAAACCATTTTGCCTATCTAACACCTTTGAAACTTTTTTTAATGAATTTACAAAGCATCTTGTATCAGCTTCAAAACCTTTTCCACCCACAGATGTAAGCTAATAGGCCTATCATTACCTTGGCAACTTTTATTACCTCGCTGGAAAAGAAGAGTAACATTAGTCAGCTTCCAATCTTATGGTACCTACACACTATTTAAGGAATTAAAAAAAAATTAACTTGCAAATCCAAACCTGTACGCATTCAAAGCCCTTTGGAAAATATTATCTGATACAATAACCATGCTATTCTTTAACCCTTCAACTGCAGTCGACATCACAGGATGCAAGCATTTTGCATGCAACATTTTGAATGGCCCTCCATAAAAATATACAAATCTTTGCACATGGGGTGGTGTACAGATTTACACAAGCCATAAACGAAGGGTGATACTTCCCAGTTTTTTTCTTAACAAGATCACGATTAATGTGATTTTGTTCAATCATGTTTCCATCTATCAACGTTTCAGGATGAGGAATACTGCTTAAATATTCATTGGCAAAAACTGAACAAAAAGTAAAAGTTTATAACCAACCATATCATAATCATCAGAAATGAGACTTTCTTTATCATCTCTTAAAGGCCCTACTCCCATCCTAACATTTTGCTTTCTTTCAATGTATTCAACGAAATACTTATTGTTAATTTTTTATGTTTTCAGTCAACCTGTTTTGACATACTCTTTTTTTTACTGTCTGATGTCTTGTTTGACAAACTATCTTGATCTTCGATAATCCTCCAAGTCTTGGCAGTCAATTTTTAGCTTCTTAAATTTATAATACTTTCTTAATTTCATATCTTATATTCTTTGTGAGCCAACCTGGTCTTTTACTTGCAGACATCCTTTTTTCTATACACTGAACATGTCTGTCTTTAACAGGGCCACATTTATGCCTAGGGCAGCAAATTTAAGAAACACCAAATAAAAGTGGCAACAAAAATTTGATGAATTATGTTTATATTTAATTTTGTAATATGGGAGCGTTGCAACCCAATGTTCCAGATCAAGATACCAATCAAGATGAATTATGTTTATATTTAATTTTGTAATATGGGAGCATTGCAACCCGATGTACCAGATCAAGATACCAATAAAGATGAATTAAGTTTATATTTAATTTTGTAATATGGGAGCATTGCAACCCGATGTACCAGATCGAGATACCAATCAAGAGCACTGAGCTAACATGTGACTGAACATACAAAGGCTTCATTTCTGGAGCGATCACATGGAGGTGGGCGCAGCAAAAACTATCTGCCTAGGGTGGCACTATACCTTAATGAGGCTCTGGTCTTGAACATTTAAAGCTTTATTTTAAAAACTTTTCCACAGTTGATCAATATGTCCAGTTAACTGTCTAATTTATAACAGATAATTCTTCTAGTAGCCTCTCAAGTTTAATATAAATCAACAGAGGTTATTTTTTCTTTGCATAAATCTCTGGTTGCACCTTATTTAAGTACTGTTTTCAGTTTGAGCTCTTTACCTTAAGGGCACTGAATTCTCAAAATGATTCAAAAGACAGCTACTATGATGATTACTTGGATGGAGAGGCTGTTATATGAGGAAAGGTTAAGGTCCTGTAAATTATTTTCTCTTGACAAAAGAAGGATTAGAGGGGATATTAATATAATTGAGGTGTTAAAAATTATAAATGGAATAGACAGGATTGATGCACCATTTTTTTGTGCGTGTTCAATAGTAAGAGTGGTAGGACAAAGGGACATAGATTTGGCAGGTTGTCTATTGTACCAGAGAGAATATAACAGTAACTTACTGAATCTAAGTTCAAAGGATTAACACTACAATATCATTTGCTGATTGAGTTGACATTGTCTAAATGTAACAGCTGACCAATACTGTGAAAGAACAAAGATCATGAGGTGATGCCGTCAACTAGACAAAGATACCAAGTTTACCTGTTGAATTCAAAGCACAATTTCCTTGGTTCAATTTTACTAGATCACTGAATAGACTTACAGAAAAGTCATCACGTTTATTTCTACAGAGCCTCTGAGAGAAAGAAAGCTGTGAGACTAAATACAGACTAGTAGAAGTGACTATTTTGTGGTGTGCTCAAGTATGTATGCTGTGTTTTGTTTTCTTTGTCTCAATGAGAATCACTCCCCCTTATTTCCTGAATTAATCTTTATTTATTAGCAGATCCATGTGATATTTGTTGGGAAATCAGATTTTACCTGAAAATACCACAGACGTAATTAGTGATATGTGTAAAGAGACAAATTATTATCTCTCATGACGTCCACATGAATCAATTTTTTGAGTTTCATGAATTTTTATCAAGATAAGTCTTTCAATTATAATTTGCCAATGCTTTGTCTCTTAATTTAATCAGAAATTGTTTTTCAACATTAAATAATTGGTTCATTTTTGGTCGAGGATCTAAATCTTTCTACTGCTTAAATGCTTCCAGATGATTTGCTGATACTTAATACAAACTTAATTTACAATTGCTGACAAATTTTCCAGATCTTTGTAACCAAAAATTGGACCTATCATCTTGGCTCTTCTCCATTGACAGTCATCTGGTATAATAACTTTTTTGTGAATTCCTAACTTCACATCTTTCAGAAAGTGAACTGCCTACATTTGTACTTTATTTATTCCAACCAATAGGCCACACAGTTCATTCACAAAAATCAAATACAGGTATTTCCTTTTTAGAATTGTCTGTACCAAGAAGCTAGTTTTTTTTTAAAATGCTGAGACAGCACAGCAACAAATTATTGTGTTGGTCTTTTTTTTTTTGGCAGCAGTAGTCTCTTAATTAACAGAAAATTGTCAGTAATACTAATAGTATATGTGAAATTACTCAAAGTAATCTATTCTGTATCTGATTAATATTAATATCTCTGTGAAATCAGTGAGCATATATTTTAAATTTACTAAGCAATTAAAGAGTTATGATACTACTGCAAAGATTGAATTCTATATTTAAGTAAACATATATGCTTATTAGTAATAGTAATACTAATCTAAGTAATTACCAATACTATGCCTGTCTATGCTTTCTCTTTCTGTAGCAATAACAAATATGATAATATTAATAATTCTGAAGATATAGGTCATTACTTTATTTATCTTAATAGAAATGTCTAGTAATAAACTCCAGTTTACATTAAACAAAGTTAAGAATAATAATTTCTTTGGTGTCGACCCGCTTCCTCATAACGCAAGCATCGTTTTTCTACAACATTCATTAAAAGTTACCAGCAGTAGAAGGAATTTACAGTTAATTTTCCTTTAATTGTACTGGACATATGCCTTTATTCCGAAAGGCCAAATTACAGGAAATCTTAAAACTAAAAGATAACACTCGAGTTACCAATATATTGGAAAAGTTTGTAGGTTTTTTAAAAATGGTCTCACAAGCTGCATGTTTAGAAAGAAATGTAGAGAAATAAAAGTAAAATTGTGAAGCAAATTTCAATTTGATTAAAAACGTTCATAATGTGGACTTTTAAAAATTGAATTAAAAGACATTATCACTACCAGTATCACTATCAGTAACATGAGTAAGTAAAACTAACACAAAAAAGAAAGAGAAAAAATCTTAAACGTAAATTTGAAACCTTAGTTAATATAAGTTACATAGTCAAATCAACGAAATTAAATCATAAGAATGCGAAATTGTTATGAAAGTAATATAACAATAGAAGATAGCATTAACTTAGAAGTTAGATAATACAGCTAAATCGTTACTCAATAGAGTACCGATTTTTTAAAATCCAACTGAGCAAGATGATGATAAGGATTTAGATGTTTTATCGTCGTTACAACAAATTTTCCACAAAATACGACAAAGAGAAAAACATTCTTTCAACAATTCAGAAAAAGGAAATCAACCATCAGTTAACAAAGAGGTGTCGCTAGGCCCACGCCCCGATTTTATTTGACAGTGCCCCGAATCCCCGAGTCTAGAATATTTTTAAGCACCTAGCGACGCCTCTGACTTAACCCTACTTTCGAACCTACTGTATTTTTCGGTATATAAGACGCACTTTTTTACCCCAAAATTTGATGTCAAAATCTGC